AGTGTTTCCCCTTCTCCTTCTACCTCCCAACAGTCCTGGGCAAAGTCTTTTCTGTTCCTCCCTCCCCTGAGACAAAAGTGGTTTGGGGGTGTGACAAAGACAGAAAATGAGAAGGTATCAACATAGGAAACCATATGTTGGTTTGAGGATTACAAAATGGGTTTTTAGGATTCCTCAAAAATTCTCTCTGCTCAAAACACATAGGAGTAAGATAAACCTTGGCTACCCACGCTGGAGATGTCCCTGCCTTCCTGCATTTGCCATCCCATGAGAATGGTGGGAGCTCCTGAGAAAGGCTGCATTTTCTGAACTATGGGGCCGTCTTCCTTCTCTCCTAAGTTGCAAACAGAAATTTCCCTCACACATTTTCTAGATTGTAAAAGAAAGTTCGTTACTATGATTGTGGACATTCCTTTATAATGCCAATTTCAAATGTACATTTACTTAGGGATTTTTCACTACTCCTAAAGAGTGTCTCAAATGTGGCTAGAGCAAGCAGGTTGGTACATTAGATGTAAGTTATCTGGCCTGGAATCTAAGGATCCATTTGTCTCTATTCTGCATAAGAAGAGCCAGGTGCTGCCTAAAGGCTGTGCACAATCAGACAACACTAACGAGGCCTCCTGGTGAGGACCCACACCGGGGTATCTAAAAGCAGACACGCATGTCCAGTCTTCTGTTGTCCTGTTTCCTTTCTGCTTATATGTCCTTAACACACAAATTTACATTTTTCTTATTTATATGAAAAGTTTCGATACAATACCTGCAATCCATTCTAAGTGGTTATAATTTCTCTTTGATATTCATGTTTAATATTGATTCCTTCTAAATCACTATCATGGTATCATTGACAATTGAGGCAACAGATCCCTGTATTTTGAGTGCCCAAGGCAATTGAGGTTTGTTGGAGTTCTGCCGTAAGCCAAATTCCATTTCATCATTCTCCTATTTTTTTTTTTTTTTTTTTTTACATACAGGGGTCCTGACACTCAAGATGGAAATAGTGCAGAATTCCTCCTGGGTGCTTCCAGATTACTTTCCTTCCTCCTTTTCTAAAGCCCAGTTGCATTATAGACTTCCTTTAGCCTGATTTGAAATTCATTCCATGTGATCATGCATCTGTCTCTACCTATATTTTGTATCTGGCTTCTGTCTCTCACCCATCAGTTCCATGGCTACTAGAAGGTACTCAATTTCTATTGACACAATCACCATTAACTTGGTGGCTTACAACAACTAAAAGCAATTATCTTACAGTTCTGCAGGTCAGAAGTCCAAAACCAGGCTAAAATCCAGGTGTTGGCAGGACTGCATTCCTTTCCGAGGCTCTAGGAGAGAACTGTTTTTCTCTCCTTTTCAACTTCTAGAGGCCACCAGCATTCCTTGGCTCATGGCCCCATTCAATCTTCAAAGCCAACAGGGACTGGCTGAGCCTTTGCTCACTCTGCATCACTCTGAGGCTCACTCTTCATTCTCCCTCTTCCACATTTTAGGACCCTTGTGATTACATTGGGCCCACCTGGAAAATCCAGGACACACTCCCTATATTAAGGCCAGCTGATTAGCAAGCTTCATTCCGTTTGGAACATTCCTTCCTTCCCTTGCCACATAATTTGACACATTCCCAGTTTCTGGGAATTAGACGTGGACATCTTTAAGAGGTCATCACGCTGCCTGCCATACTTGGTATCTGGTTACAGGAAGTAATAAGCAATTAACTTTTTGAAGACAGAATTATGGCCATAGTTTTATATACCAGATCCAAAGACCCTGCAAAAGGAAAGAGCCCACAGGGAAATAGCCCCTCCAGTAACACAAGCTAGTCTGCAAACTAATACCCTTTAACTTTGGGAAGTGCTTTCAACTGCAGGGGACTCAGAAGCATGCCTCTGTGCCAACAGCAAAAAATGTGCCCTTCTCTTTTGTTGGCAAGTAACTTAATTAACCAACCCAAAAAACAGATCTTTCTCTCAGCTTTCCATAATCTCTGAGAGGAAGTAGGTTTGCAGAAGTGGGGTTATGGGGAAAAGGCCAGGTGTTAATGATGAAAAAACATTGAACTTTTCTAGGGGTAGTAATAAGATTTAATTCAAGAATAGAACATTTTAGCTGCAAGTCTTCAAGAATAAGACAATTTTACCCCCTGTTTTATTGTGGGAATAGAGAATGTGAGAGAGGTTCCATTCCATGGGCCTTGGGAATTCAACACGGGTCAAGGATAAATAAACCCAGGTTTTTCACTGCAGGGAAGAGCTTCAAATGTAATCAGTTCTCAGGGCATCAGCTCAGTTTCTGTATGCCTAACAATGCAGTTGACATACATCTTCTCAGATGCCTACTCCTAACTCACTGATGGATAATTTAAGTACGCATAAAGGAGTAGAAGCACCAAGCCACCAGTGAGAGGAATGAGAGAGTTCGCAGAGAAGCTGGCCTGCAGTAAGACAATGAGTTCATCTTTAAATACTTGGAGTCTGAGGTGCAGATGGATAAAGCTGGCAGGCTCCTATGTAAGGCATGTTATGGAGAAGGTGCTATGAATTGTTAATATCAAAACAAATACCCAGGGAGCCTCTGCATGTGTGCATCTGTATCTCAGATCCATTATAGTTGAGTTCAGTCCTGCCTGATTCATCTCCCAGAGATGCAGCCTCCTCTTAAAGAAGTTGCCGCTGGTGGCCCATTCAGTGATGTCACTGACAGATGCATCTTATGGGGATAAAGTGTCACAAAATTCATCTCTTTGCTCATGCTCACAGAGGGCCTGCTCTGGAATATTCCACATCTGCTCTCACTCTGCCATGGGCTCCTGGACTCTCTGCTGTGTGTCCCTTTGTATCATGGTAGCGAGTGAGTCTTCAGAATATTTACCATCGTCACACTGGGCTCCTGCATGGATGATGTCTTATATTTTCTTTATTCTGTCCCCCAATTCTTCCTTCTTTCACAGAGCACACAGATGCTGGAGTTATCCAGTCACCTCGGCATAAGGTGACAGAGATGGGAAAAGAAGTGACTCTGAGATGCGAACCAATTTCAGGCCATACCTACCTCTTCTGGTACAGACAGACCATGATGCAGGGACTGGAGTTCCTGATTTACTTTAACAACAAGGATCCGACAGATGATTCAGGGATGCCCAAGGATCGATTCTCAGCTAAGATGCCTAACGCATCATTCTCCACTCTGAAGATCCAGCCCTCAGAACCCAGGGACTCGGCTGTGTACTTCTGTGCCAGCAGTTTAGCCACAGCGCTGCAGAATCACCCCTTTCCTGTGCAGAAACCCTAGTGTTTCCCCTTCTCCTTCTACCTCCCAACAGTCCTGGGCAAAGTCTTTTCTGTTCCTCCCTCCCCTGAGAAAAAAAGTGGTTTGAGGGTCTGACAAAGACAGAAAATGAGAAGGTATCAACATAGGAAACCTTAGGTTGGTTTGAGGATTATGAGATGGGTTTTGAGGATTCCTCAGATATTCTCTCTGCTCAAAACACACAGGAGTAAGATAAACCTTGGCTACCCACACTGGAGATTTCCCCGTCCTCCTGCATTTGCCATCCCATGAGAATGGTGGGAGCTCCCGAGAAAGGCTACGTTTTCTGGACTACGCTTTCCCCTTCATTCTCACCTAACTCTAAGTTGCAAACAGAAATTTCCTTCACAAGTTTTCTAGATTGTAAAAGAAAGTTCTTTACTATGGGTGTGGACATTCCTTCTTAATGCCAATTTCAACTTTATGTTTATTAAGGGATTTTTCATTACTCCTAAAGAGTGTCTCAAATGTGGCTAGAACAAGCAGGTTAGTTCACTAAATGTAAGCTACCTGGCCTGGAATCTAAGGATCCAGTTATCTCTATTCTGCATAAGAAGAGCCAGGTGCTGGCTAAACGCTGTGCACACTCACAGAGCACTGATGAGGCCTCCTGATAAGAACCCACACTGGGGTATCTCAAAGCAGACAGACATGTCCAGTCTTCTGTTGCCCTGTTTCCTCCCTGATTATATGTTCTTAACACACAAATTTACATTTTTCTTCTTATGTATAAGAGAAGTTTCTATATAATACCTGTAGTCCATTCTGACTGGTTATAATTTCTCTGATATTCAAATTTATATACTGATTCCTTCTAAATCCCTATCATGATATCATTGACAACTGAGGTGGAAGATCCCTGTATTTTGAGTGCCCAAGGCAATTGAGGTTTGTTGGAGTTCTGCCATAAGCCAAATTCCACTTTGTCATTCTCTATTTTTTTTTTTTTTTTTTTTTGACGTATAGGGGTCCTGACTTTCAAGACAGAAATAGTGCAGAATTCCTCCCTGCTGCTTCCAGATTATTTTGTCCCTCCTACTTTAAAGCCCTGCTGCTTTATACATGTTACTTTATAATATTACCCCTTGTTGTACTTACCTTATTACCTTCAGAAATTTTCTTATTCAGTCCTTCTGCCTGCTACTAATCCAGTCATCTTTCTTAATACTATTCATCACATAGACAATTTATTCACTCGCAAGGCTTCTACGTTTCTCAACCTCCTATACTCTGAGTCTTTTTCCCCTCCAGTCCTTTTCAGACTTACTTCCGTGATTACAGACCATTTAAGGAACAACAAAGATCTTTCAATATTTGTATTTAAATTATCCTATCGTTCTACCACTACCTGCCTTCTGTTTATCTCAGTAACTCCTACAATTCTTCTATTTCTCTGACCTCTCCAGTTCATGGAGCCCAAAACTTTTATTATTTTTTTTTATTTTTTTTGGTCTTTCTAGGATGTTATTTATTAAAAATAGATTATCTGTCCCTCCCCTAACCCCTCCTGGCAAAATGGCCTTTCCCAACATCTTTTTGCGCATGGATAACAGGTCTTGAGGATGCAGATGTGGCATCCTACCTAAACTACAGGCTCAGGCTTTTCTGGGACAGTGGGGCAGCAGCTCTGCTGGCGCCAAGGGTGGAACAGCACAAGATGACATCAGCAAACCCTGGTGCACCTAACCGTGGGCTGCCATGGAGGCTGGAACGGACTGGAGTTCCTTCTGTTCCAGGCCTCAGGAGACAAAGTCCACAAAGAGAGACCCAGCGGCCCAGCAGCAGCCCCCTGAGAGCCCACAACTTGTAAACTCTTATGCTTTAATTCTGACATTCTTTTAATTATGTTTTGAGATTTAAGACTATAATATCAACCCCAATTAGATCCAACTCCCTGTAGGTTCCTATGAATGGCAGAGTTGGGAGGGGCACTAAAAATCCCTGTGGGGACTCATTCGATTTATCTTCTATAGTTGTCATAGACTCCTCTTAGGTTCCTCTACTTCTAACCTTGGCCTCCCTCATTCTAACCACCAACCCGGAGTCTACTCTCAACATAGAAGTCAGAGTGATCCTTTAGGTTAGATGCTGTCACTCTTCCGCTAAACCATACAGTAGCTTCCTATTTCACTTAGAGAAAAACCTACAGCCTACATAGGCCTACAAGGTCCTAGGTGATCCCCCTCCCTGTTACATTTCTTGCCTCCTCTCTGTTCCTCTTTCCCTTGCTTATTTTTTCACAACACATTGGCCTTCTGGCCATGCCTCGAATACACAAGGCACACTTCTGCCTTAGAACCTTTGCTCAAGCTATTCCCTTTGCTTGGAACATCCTTCTCCCAAGTATCCCAGTTAGGCCTGCAAGAAGCCTGAATCATTCTACCAGTGATACAATCATTTTCCTAAAACCACTTTTCAATTTTTATACATTCAACAAGTCTCCATTGTTCACTAGATAAAAATTTCACTTCGGGAGGGCATTTGAATTTTTAAACATTTGGACCATATCTTATCTTATTTTTGACTACTGAGTAAGATAAATGTTACTTTATCAAGTGTACTTCACACCCTTACAAAACAGTCTTACACAATTTAATGCCTGTTCATACATTTGCTCTTGTAATTTCTCCTACCTTCTTCATACTGTTCAATACTTCTAATCACTCAAGACACAATTGAATGCTTTCTTTCTCTATGAAGCAGGAAATGGTTCCATTTACTCTATTTTCACAGTAGGGTAAAATAGATACACATTTTAGGAACAAAACAACCATGCAGATTATAGAAATTAAACTATTTTTTACATACTTTTGAAGGTGAGGAGGTTCAGAAGCTCAAATATGGTTAACTATATTTTGCTTCTATTTAAGTCCATATTCCCCACCACTTTAAATCTTCCAAGAGAGATTTTCCTCATTCAAATTAAAAGCATTTTGATACAAGAGTGGGGCAGGGAAGTGCTCGGTAGAAAAGGGCACAGTCCCTGATGAGGGCTCCATCCTAGGGCCTGTGCCCACCGACCTAAATGAGGACAGGGGTTTCTGTTTTTGCACTCAAAAAGTTGCCTTTTGGCCCGCCACGCCCCCCATCCTGTGCCCATATAAACCTGAGACCTTCAGCGGACACAGACACGAGGCTGGACGTCGAGAAGAGCAGAAGAATACACCAACAGACACCGGCAGATCAGCGATGGCGGAAGGACACGAATGCCGAAGGGGAGTTTAGCCAGGGGTAGTCGGAGAAGAGTCCTGTCACTGGGCAGCCAACCGCAGGGGAAAACCACCTTTCCACTCCATCCCCCGACTTCCGGCTCCCCATCTATCTCACTGAGAGCCACTTCCACCACTCAATAAAACCTTGCACTCAATCTTTCAACCCACATATGATCTGATTCTTCCAATACACTGGGCAAGAGCTCAGGCTGTCACATTGGCCCCCTGTCCTTGCAATAAGCAGAGGGTCTGTTGAGTTGACTAACACAAGCTGACTGCAGATGGCACAGCTGAAAGAGTGCACTGTAAGTCCTAGACGCTGCCATGGGGTGGGAGCCCGAAAGCACTCCCCACGGCCTCTGCACCTGCCCGTCTGCATGCTCCCCCTAGCGGCTTGAGCACCTGGGCACCAGTGAAGTGAGCCATACCCCTGTCACATGTCCTGCCAGTAGGATAAGGGAACGCTCGGGTTTTAACTTAATGTGTAAAAGACCTTGTTAAGAGGATGAAAATGAAGCCACAGCAATGGATAAAACATTTATAAACTACATATCCAACAAAGGAATATTATGACTATTTCAAGATTTGCAGGACTGTCTAACACATAGACTCATGAGCAATAATAAATGATTATTACTTTAACCAGTGAGATTTGAGTGAGGCTTGTTATACAGCATTGCTGTGCAGGTGTCAACTGATATACTCTATATTGCAATATCTATTTCTTAAAATTGTTCTAGCCATAATCCCATAGACCATTAGTAATTCCGAGCTTGTTCTTTTTAGGAAGAGTGTTGCTCAACTCTGATGTCTTTCTTCTGTTTTCTATTTTGATTTACACATGAACATAGTTCCCAGCAGCTTTTAAACCTCCAGAAGCCCTTAACATTTCTGTTTCTGAAAAATATCTTTTCTTGTTTTCAGCATTTTTTATTGTTATTTTTTATTGTTTTGTACGGGAAGGTACTCAGTTTACCATGTTGAATTAGTAATTCTTTAAACATTTTTGCAATTCCAGTAATTAGAGATATTACTGCACTAGGCATTGAAGATACCATGGTCTTTGCAGTTCCTGCTTGCATATCAAGTCCTGTGAACTATGTCTGGTGTCTGTGAGTCACTTCCCAGTGTGGTCATTGGCTTTTACTGAGTCTGATTCACCACCGACCTTTACTGAGGCTGATTCACCAACCCCTTGGTCATTCTTGGACACATAAGCACAAATACAACAGTGTCCTTTCCCAAAATATGTAATACGCAGGGAAAATTACTTTCATGTAAAATAAACATGCCCTTTTAATATTACCAGTAGATCATTCTAATTATGGACTAGTAACATCCAACAGACTTATTTGGGTTTAGTGACAGACCTATTACTGTGTTCACTCCTCAATTCAAACATAGAATGTGTATTTTCCATATTGTGTAGCTTCAAGTTTTGGGGTTCTCCATCAAATACTTCGCTATACAATGGCAGCTACTTTTGTCTGGATATTTTCTCAAATCCTGGATGATTACAAACTTCTCCTTCACTGGTGAATTTTTTTTTAATGCAGGGTCAAACCTGATATTAAGTCTCCCAGAGAGTGAGAAGACAACTATTCAGGGTCTACAAGATGACCAGTTAGAAGCAGCTGCGGTCCGTGGTGCTCATGGAGAGGAATGAAATGGGGTGATTGAATTTAGCACTGTCAATTGAAATATTCAGGTTCTCACACTGGGATTGACTAGGCAAACAACTTGACCCACAGAGAATAAAGAAAAGCAGAGTGTCGGGGGCACGACAGCCCACTGGGAGCAGCACACAGCCAAAGGAACCCCCACCCCAGCCAAGGCAAGCAGTGAGTGATTGTGTGACCCTGCCCAGGAAACCATGCTTCTTCCACAGATCTTTGCAACCCATGGATCAGGAGATCCCCTCACAAGCCCAGAACAACAGGGCCTTGGATCCAGTACACAGAACTGTGTAAAGTTTTCCAGAGCAGCTGCTCCGGCACACACAGAGACCCAGGAGTTTTACACATTTCAGCCCCAGAATCCCAGGCAAGGCAGGAAATCTGTCCACATATAACCCTAGAAAGGGGGCTGACTCCAGGGAGCCAAGGAGCATCATCCTGCAGGCCCCACTTCCACAGTACCTCACAAGTTAAGACCCACTGGCTTGGAA